TTTTTTTTTTTTTTTTTTTTTTTCTTTTTTTTTTTCCTTTTTTTTTTTTATTTATTTATTTATTTATTTGTAAGAGAAAAGAATTTACCAAAACAAAAAACGCGAACTCTATGTTTTTATTTCATTTACCTTATCTAAAGTTTTTCAAAATCGTAAATACATTAGAAATAAATTCGACGAATTCGGCGAACATTTCGACACTATTTTTGGTTACATCTCATTATCGATATATATTTAGAACATTCGAACAAGGCACACTTATTGCTTTTATAATTTTATCCGTCTTGATAACGATTCATGCTTTTCATATATATGTATATATTCATATATATATATATATATATATATATATATATACTCGTTATTTCTTTTGTCCCCCTTGCCTTTTCGGTAAGTGTAAACTTTGAGATAATTAGGAACTATAAAGGTACATTTCGTTATTAGAATAATTTTGGTTCGCACGCATTATTTCAACTCCGCCTATTTTTCATCTTTAATTTTTATTATCAGGCAAAAGAGAGAACGCGAAATAGAGCTTAATTGCAATACTATTACACTACTTGCGGAACAAACGATGTTTGAGTATACTAGAACGGATAGAATCGGATAACCGCAACAGTTTGATTGCGACACGCTATGCATTTATCCTTGTCGTTTTCGCCGTTTTCGTCTTCGTCATCATCCTCGTTATTCAATATATAATATCGACCAAACTCGTCGATCAAAAATTATCATTTTCGCAAATTTATTTTTTGTCGAAGAGAGATCTATTCTTAAACTAATGTAACATATTTCCTTAACAACTTTTACATGACGGCCTTGCGACAATAGATCATCGCAATTTAAAAATAAACTTCAATCATTATTTTGTACATTAAAGAAGTTCGTTTTACTTGAACACGGTTTGGATCTAGCGCGCGTATCGATGCATACATATGTAACGTACAGATTCATTTTATACCGCATACATCGATCCATGTTCGCGTCTACATTCACACTTTCATGATACGCTACAATTAATGCTCATTTTCTTTAGTCGCACCACATTTTTATAGGCACGCTTTTCCAATATTTTTCCTTCCTCACTTCCTTTCTTTCCTTTTTTCTTCTTAAATCATGTCGTATTTTCTTTTTTTCTTTTCTCCTCTTCTTGTTC